TTGCTGTGAGCGGAGATCACACCATTGCACTCCAGCCTGGGCAACAAGAGCAAAACTCAAAAACAAACAAAAATTTTTATTTGTTTTCCACCATCATCATCCTTTCTGAATGCGGAAATAACATTTTTCTTCCACTGTCGAAGTCCATTTTGAAGTAAGGGTTCATTGCCTACTGAATTAAGAAATATATATGAAGGGAGAATTTAGGCTTTAGAAATACTTTGGACTATGAAATTTTTCAGTAGATGTACTCCTGGTTCTTTGATATTCCGAAACATTCTCTTTTTTTGTCTTTTTTTTTTTTCCTTTTTGCGGAGAATGGGGTCTTACTATATTGCCCAGGCAGGACTTAAACTCCTGGGCTCAAGCAATCCTTCTGCCTCTGCCTCCCTAAGTGCTGGGATTACAGGCATGAGTCACTGCACCTGGTCTGGCATTCCAAAACATTCTAATAGCTTATTCCTTTTGAGAAATGAGGGCTACCCCCTTCAAATGTTGAAATCACCATTTGTTTCCTTATTCTGAGCAGTTTTCTGAAGGCAAGCCAAGTGTTGCTGGGGATGTTGGATGTAAAACTGTCTTTAAAGTAGATCCTTTGGTAAAAAATGTATTGATTGCTATTTTGGGGTTTTAACTGGCATCCGATCATATGAAGCATATGAGTTTTAAATTATTTAGAAGTTCCTAACCCTTTTTTGGACCCTATCTCCCTTTAAAAAACTGGTAACAGGCCAGGTGTGGTGGATCACACCTGTAATCCAGAACTTTGGGAGGTTGAGGCAGTAGTATCTAACACTTGAGCCCAGGAGCTTGTGACCAGACTGGGCAACATAGCAACACCCTGTCTCTACAAAAAAAATTTAAATATTAGTGGCCAGGTGCAGCGGCTCAGCGACGCCTGTAATCCCAGCACTTTGGGAGGCCAAGGCGGGTGGATCACGAGGTCAGGAGATCGAGACTATCCTGGCTAACACAGTGAAACCCTGTCTCTACTAAAAATACAAAAAATTAGTCAGGCATGGTGGCGTGTGCCTGTAGTCCCAGATACTCGGGAGGCTAAGGAAGGAAAATCACTTGAACCCAGGAGACAGAGGTTGCAGTGAGCCAAGGTCATGCCACTGCACTCCAGCCTGGTGACAGAGTGCGGCCCGTCTCAAAAAAAAAAATTAGCTGGGCATGGTCATGGGTGCCTGTGGTCCCAGCTTTGGGAACCTGAGACAGGATTGCTTGAGCCCAGGGTCAAGGTTACAGTGAGCCATGTTCACACACTGCACTCCAGCCTGTGTGACAGAGCAAGACTCTGTCTCAAAGCAAACAAGACATGGATAAAAGCTGTGGATTCTCTCCCACAGAAAACTGCATGCCCTCACAACTTTTTGCACCTACTCTTAGAAAATTCTCAAGCCCCACGTCTTATCCCAGCAGTGAATCCGACCGATCTGCAGCAAACTCGATACTTGCCTCCTCAAAGACAGAACTCAGCTGAGGGGCAGAGGTGGTTTTAAGTGGTTTTAAGGCAGAGGGAGAGGCCAAGGCAAGTTTTAAAGCAGGAGTGAGAGTTTACTAAAAAGTTTTAGATTTAAAAAAATAATAAAATAAAATAAGGCCGGGCATGGTGGCTCACACCTGTAATCCAAGCACTTTGGAGGCCAAGGCGGGCGGATCACCTGGGGTCAGGAGTTCAAGACCAGCCTGACCAACATGGTGAAACCCCATCTTTTAAAAAATAAAATAAAAAATAAAAAAGTTTTAGAGTAGAAACAAAAGGGGGTACAGTACACTTGGAAGAAGGTTAAGCAGGCAACTTGAGAGATCTAAGTGCCCTGCCTGACCCTTAACTTGGAGTTTTGTATATTGGCATGGTTCTGGGATTTGCGTCTCTTCTCCTCTGATTCCTCCCTTGGAACAGGCCGCCCGTGTATGTGGTGACCTGCCAGCACTTGGGAGGGGTGGCATGCATCGTGTGATTACGGAAATTGCGCACATACTCACTTGAGACATTTTCCTCATCAATCCTCCCTTCCCAAAGGAAGGTCATACACTGGTTAAATTCCGCCATTTTGCTTCTTGGTGCGCATGCTCCAGCCTGCTTGCCCAGCTCCTGAGATCTTATCCGGAAGCTGCTGATCACCAGATCCAGGTGTTTTGTATCTACTGAGAAACTGTCTTTGCTTGGAGCTGGTTTAACCAATTATTATTTTAGAGAGACAGTTTAACAGCCATCTGCCCATCACCTGATGGTCTACTGACATTCCTGTGGGGCCCTCTCCTGTCCTGCTCATGTCTGCCTAGCTACCTACTCTAACATTGCCACACTGTGGACCCCAGGTGGAGCTCCTCTGCAGGGGAGACTGTCCTCAAATAGCCTGCTGGGGAGACGTCTCTTTCCCATTTACCTTTCCATTTGCCCCCACGGTGTTAGGCAAAGGCTGAAGCTGGCCTCGGTGGCAGAGGGTTTCTTCCCAACGCGCTAATGACGCTGGTGGAGAGTCTTCAAACCAGCTGTTCTGGGGAGAGTCCTTGCTGTGTGCCTTTCAGAGATCTCCCTAAGACTCAAAGACCGAGTCAGGCCAGAGGGAGCCTGGCAGCAATTCCCAGGGACAGTGGCAGCTTTTTGAGGAGGACTAATTGGCTCCTAGGGCTGCAGGCCACCTGGGTCTGATGGACTATCCCGCTGCCATCCCTCCAGGGCACCCCCCACTCTCTTGCCTCGGGGCCTTCCTGCACTTTCTCCTTTTGTCCTCAATGCTCTTCACCCCACCTTTTCTACCTGGTACCCTCTGCCTATGGTCAAGGCTTTGGTGACACCCACCTTCCTCTTAGGCCTTCACGGATCCCCCAGAGACTGTGTTGGGAGCCCCTCCCATGTGCTCTTGTTTGAGCTTTTAATTTTCCACCGTGATGTTTGTCACGCTGCTTTGTAATTGGCTCTCTGTTCATCTGCATCTCTACTGGGTTGTCCCTTCCAGGAGGACAGGGGCCATGTGACTCTTGTAATCTTCCCACCCCCAACACGCAGTAGTGCTGGGAACACAGAGCTTGACAGCACAAGCTTGTTGAGCAAACAGATGAATACAGCTAGTGCTCGACTTACGACCACGATTGGTTCCAACAGACCGGTCGTAACACGATTTGGTCGTTAAGTTGAGTAGGCTATATGCACGGGGGGATGGTAGTGCTGCTGGAAGCTGGTCCGCACTGTCGTATGCCCAGCTGGGCAACGTTTGCGCTGCCAGACGCGGAGCAGTCGTGGCTAGCGATTGTGGTCGTAAAGTCGAATGATCGTAAGTTGCATAGGTCGTAAGTCGATCAATACCTGTAACTGGATGCCTCTGTGCAGAGTTTCTCAGCCTGGCCATTACTGGATTTTGGGACTTGCTCATGCTTCGTCGTGGGAGAGGGTTCTGTGCCCGTAGGATGTTTAGGAGCATCTCTGGTTTTTATCCACCGGATGCCAGGAGCACCCCCACCCAGCTGTGACAACCAAAAATGCCCCCAGACACCACCCCAAAACCAGTGGGAGACAAAATCGCCCAACTGAGATTCGTCGTCTTAGTGAGTGAATGTTGACCTTAGCGTCACTTCACCTCTCTTGAGTCTAGGTCGGGGAGCGAGTTCAGTTAGCCAATCAGAGAGCGCTGATGGGGCGACCAGTGTCTGCTCATGAAATGGGTGGCTGACCTCTTGGGGCTCCTCAGAAGAGGGAAAAGTTCTACTGCGTGTTGGCCAAGGACAATTTTAAGTCCTTTTATGAACGATTACCACATGAGGACACAAGAGGGCGCTCTAACTAACGAGTTCCACAGCTGGGAAAACTGGAGCGGGTGTTCTTGGGATGCCTCAGGCTTGGACACCGGGGTTACCGCAGCAGCCCAAGAAGGCTGAAGCCAGCGTCCTGGATTCAGACGGACGTTTTAGCCATTAAATCTACTAAGGAAGACCCCTGCGCATGAAGTTTCCTCCTCGGAAATAAAGACAGAAGGGAAAGTAATTTTAAACTCATGTGTGCTCCACAGGGGCGGTAGCTCATGCCTGCAATCCAGGCACTTTGTGAGGTCAAAGGGGGAGGATCACTTGAGCCCAGGAGTTCGAAACCAGCCTGGGTACCATGGCGAAACCTCACCTCTCCAAAAAAATTTAAAAATTAGCCAGGCGTAGTGGTGCACGCCTGTGGTCCCAGCTACTCAGGAGGCTGAGGTGGGAGGATCGCTTGAGCCCAGGTGTTCAAGGCTGTGGTGAGCTGTGGTTGCGCCACCCCACTCCAGCCTGGGCAACAGAGCAAGTCCCTGTCTCAACAAAATGAAAAATTCAGTCGTGCTGCTTAAGGCACCAGCAGTAGGAAGGAGGTCTTTGCCACTCCCGTGGCAATGGCCCTTCTCTGGTGGCAAGGGACTAAGGAACTCCCTGGACACAGGGGTTCCGGCTGTCCCCAGACCATCAACAGAGACGTGAAGGTTGTTAGAGGTCGCCTGATCCTTTGACCTGATCTGAGCCCATCACTCTGAAACTCTGGAAACTGTATGACATTTGTGATACAATTTTGTGTGTGTGTTGGGGAAACGAACCCACAGCTTTCATCATATTTTCAAAAGAGTCTAGGCTAGGCATGGTGGCTCACACCTGTAATCCCAGCACTTTGGGAGGCCGAGGCGGGCAGATGGCTTGAGGTCAGGAGTTCGAGACCAGCCTGATCAATATGGTGAAACCCCATCTCTGCTAAAAATATAAGAAATTAGTCGGGCATGGTGGCATGTGCCAGTAATTCCAGCTACTTGGGAGGCTGAGACAGGAGAATTGTTTGAACCCAGGAGGCAGAGGTGCAGTGAGCCAAGATTGCGCCACTGTACTCAGCCTGGGCAACCAGAGCGAACCTCCATCTCAAAAACAAGACAAAACAAAAACCATAAACCTGTTTGGTTCTCTCTGTGACTTCAGAGGCCCAAGGAGTCCTCAGCACTACAGATGCATGTGGCCCCTCAGAAGACAATATTTCACACATCTGCAAAGAGTAAAGGTCAAATTTATTTAATACACCACCACTAGGGTCCCTGCAGCCGTGTCACTGAGTTAAACAGGGAAAGTGATTTTGGTTAGGTGTGGTTCTCACCAGTGAAATTCCACAGCGCAATAACCACAACCGCTGTCCCACCCACTCAAGACAATGTCAGGAACGTCTTAAGACCTCAGGAAACCACTTCTTTAGCAAGCAATTTTTTTTTTTTTTTGAAATGGATTCTCATTCTGTCACTCAGGCTGGAGTGCAGTGGTGCAATCTCTGCTCACTACAAACTCCCTCTCCTGGATTCAGGCGATTCTCCCGCCTCAGTCTCTTGAGTGACTGATACTACAGGCATGTGCCACCACACCCAGCTAGCTTTTGAATTTTTAGTAGAGACAGGGTTTCACCAGGCTGGTCTCAAACTCCTGACCTCAGGCGATGTGCCGACCTCAGGCGATGTGCCCGCCTCAGCCTCCTGAAGTGCTGGGATTACGGGCATGAGCCACCTCACCTGCCCTAACAAGGAATAAATCTTAAAAAATTAGTAAGAAACATACACATTTTACTTTTTCAATTAAGAATAATATTTGCTGTAGGCACCATCATCCTGTCTTTCAGCCTCCAGCATGGTAGAGGAAAAGGAAAAGGGGGTAGAAAAAAGTTTAAGAACATCTGTGCTTGTTCCACCTTCATTTTCTGTTTGCTGTATTGCCCGAATGAATCTAGTCTTCAGGTTGGTATTTCAAAGGAGGTGCTCCCAAGTAGCTTGGTTTTCCCATTTGTGGAGAGTAAAGTTTTAGAGGGGACAGGGGGAGGCTGTTTGGTCAGCACTGTGTATTTCCAAAGAACAAGGACTACTCAAAACTACAAGCCTTTGAAGGAACAAAGGAAAAGACAAAAAAAAAAAAAAAAAAAACTAGCCTCTAACCAGGCCATGTGCTAGAAGTGATTGGCTACAAAACAGAAAACCGGTTTCTGTGTATGAGGGCGCATGGAAAAGGTCTTTATCTCTGCACAAGACAAAATATTCAAGTTTCAGAATATCCCAGTGGACTGTTTGCCCTGGATCCCCTCTTCTGCTCTTCCAATTGCCAAGGATGCTCCAACTTGGTGGGAGGAGGATGTGTGGGAAATTCAACTGCCCCTCTGGATCTCTTTCTACCCAACATTAACTCAGTAGGATGGATTTAAGAACCGGCAGCTTAGCCTGAGGAATTGCTGTGTTCTGTGGGAGCAGGGCAGGTCCATAAATAAGTGCACAGAGCTCTTGAAATTCAGGGATCATCTGCTCTTCTTGGAACATGGATGTCCTTCCAGGGATGTACATCTGTCCTCACTGTCTAAGTTCCATCAAGGGAGCCTTCCGTTCTCTGTAGTGGCAAGAAACAAGGCAAGTTATGATCACAACTCTCAAGACTGAAGATTGCCCTGGTGGAGAGAAATGCAACATGGCAGACAGCATTTCTCTTTTTTTAAGAGGGGGTTTCACCATGTTACTTAGGCTGGTCTTGAACTCCCAACCTCAGGTGATCTGCCCGCCTTGGCCTCCAAAGTGCTTGGATTACAGGTGTGAGCCACCACACCCGGCCAGCATTTCTCAAAGAAAACGCAAAGCAGGGCTATTGCCCACTGGTCCCCGACCCTGCAGGGGGACAGCTCCTGCCTATAGGCATTTCTCCTTCTCTCTACACCTGCTCTGTAGGGACTGTAGTCTCTGTCCCTGCATACACATTGCACATCATGTCCACTTTGCGAGGCCAAGGATGGAGGATGCCTGAGCCCAGGAGTTCCAGACCAGCCTGGGCACCATGGTCAAACCTCACCTCTGCAAAAAAATTTAAAAATTAGTTAGATATGGCGGCACATGCCTGTGATCCCAGCTACTCAGGAGGCTGAGGTGAGAGAATCACTTGAGCCCAGCCAGGAGTTTGAGGCTACGGTGAGCTGTGGTTGTGCCACCGCACTCCAGCCTGGGTGACAGAGCAAGTCCCTGTCTCAACAAAACGAAACGAAAATTTCAGTCATGCTGCATAAGTAAGGCACCAGTAGTAGGAACGAGGTCTTTGCAGCTCCTGTGGCAATGGCCCTTCTCTGGTGGTGGCAAGGGACTAAGAAACTCCCTGGACACAGGGGCTCCGACTGTCCCCAGACCATCAACAGAGACATGAAGGTCATTAGAGGTCATCTGATCCTTTGACTTCGATCTGAGCCCATCACTCTGAAACTCTGGAAATTGTATGACATTTTTGTGATGCAACTTTGTGTGTGTGTGTGTGGGCTGGGGAAAGGAACCCACAGCTTTCATCATGTTTTCAAAAGAGTCTATCCACCAAGTAACTTCATCAAAACCCATGTGCACCCAGCACAGTGTCCTGTGGGTGCCCCACTTACCCACAGAAGAAAGGAAATGTAAGAGATCCGGCTTCTAGCTCCAGTTCTGTCTCTAACTAATATAAGATGTACCCTTTTGATGCCTGGTTTTTTTTTTTTTTTTAATTTAAAAAATGAAGGATTGAACTTAAATGGTCCAACTTAAATGTTTTAAAAATGATATGATCCTGGGAGGCTGAGGCAGGAGAATTGCTTGAACCTGAGAGGTGGAGGTTGTAGTCAGCCGAGATCACGCCACTGCACTGCAGCCTGGCGACAGAACAAGACTCCATTTCAAAAAAAAAAAAAAAATGATATGATCCTACCTTAAAAAGAGAATGAAATTCTGATATATTTCAACATAGAAAAACCTTGAAAGCATTTTGCTAAATGAAATAAGGCAGACAGGAAAGGAAAAATATATGATTCCACTTATGTGATGTACCTAGAATAGTCAAATTCATAGAGACAGAAAGTAGACAGTGGTTGCCAGGGGCAGTGGGGAGTTAGTGTTTAATGAGGACAGTGTTTCAGTGGCTGCTCTGCCTATGGAGTTGCCATTCTTTTGTTTCTTTACCTCCGTAATAAACTTGCTTTCACTTAGAAAAAGAAAAAGCTCTGGAGATGGATAGTGGTGATGGTTGCACAACAATGTGAATGGACCTAATGCAACAGAATTATACACTTTAAAATGGTTAAGTATACACTTGGAAGGGCTAAATTTAATATTATATATATTTCAGGACGATTAAAAAAAGAATTCCTTGCTGGGTGTGGTAGCTCACGCCTATAATTTCAGCACTTTGGGAGGCCAAGGTGGGTGCATCCCCTGAGCTTAGGAGATCCAGAGCAGCCTGGGCGACATGGGAAACCCCATCTCTACCAAAAATGCAAAAAACGAGGCTTGCATGGTGGTGTGCACCTGTGGTCCCAGTTACTAAGAGGCTGAGGTGGGAGGTTCATTTGAGCCTGGGAGGTGGAGGTTGCAGTGAGCTGAAATAGCACCATTATACTCCAGCCTGGGTGACAGAGTGAGACTTTGTCTCCAAAAAAAAAAAAAAAAAAAAAAAGCCCACATAAGGATTCCTGGATTCCTTCTGCCATCCTATAGTGCCCTTTAACAGCATCAAATGCTATTTGTGTCACCTATCCACCTATCAGTGCCTGGACCCTTATCTGATGCATATACTGTTCTCTATGCTGGAGTTGCAAGAACCTGTCCCCAGCAATTTTATATTGTATCAATTACTGATCAACAGCACCACTATGAAGGAGAAGGTATAAGAGGTCTTAAAATTAACTGCGGAAGGGGTTCAGAGGCAGTGAGAGGGCTCTGGGCTGGGCAGCAGCGGATTCAGAGAAGCAACTCTGGAGTCAGCCTGAAGATCAGATTTCAACAAATGGAAAGAGCCCTTGCAGGACAGAAGAGCAGGGCATGCTGGGAGATCCCAGTGTAGAGGGGGCCCCTGGGCAACAGTGGGCCCTGAAGAACAGGCAGCACTTAAGTCCACTCTTCTGGACCCTCCACTTGCACAGGACACTCGGCTGCAGGTGGACCTCGGCAAGGCAGGAGCAGGAGACGTAGGATGACCCAGGGTCTTGGGATCTCCACAGCCAGCCTGGTTGGCTTCCTGAAGGTGAGCTGGGATAGAGTCTCCATTTGTTCCAGCCCTGCTGGGTCTGAGGACCCTCAGAGAACAGGATGCAGGGCCGAGGTGCCCAACTAGAAGTCCAAGGCTCTGGCTCCTCCTCTGCCAGGAGAGCCCCATGCAAGTTGGCCAAGCAAGCTGTGGCTGGCCCCAGAGACTGGAGGGCTGCCAGCGCTGGCGGTCACCCTGCCCCATTTCCTCTGCTCTGCCTGGATGGAGGAGGCATGACTCTGGTGTCCCGCCTTTCTGCAGACCCCACACCAAGTCCCTCCCCAGACACCTCCGTTCTCCCTCTGTGGGGGCAGCCAGTGCTTGAGGCACCGTTGCAGAACCAAAGCCACAGACAGGAAGGGCTGGGCCACAGTCAATAGGGCCTCAGGGGTTTTGAAGTAAAGGTTAATGCCCTCACATCCAAGGCCTAGGCTTGCTATGTTTAAATCAGAAGGTAGCCATCAGCTACCTAAGTGTAGTTGTGAAATTGCCCTGCCTTGTACCCGGAATATAGTGTAAACTCCCTCAAAGGTCATTTTGATTTCAATATACTCTGGGATCTCTAGTTCCTGCTTCTAGAAAGTGCTCCTATGGGCACTTCCAATAGACCAGGTCTGTGCTAGGTGCTTATTCAACCCTTGCAATAACCAGATGAGGGAGTTTATGATTCCCAGTTTACAGATGAGGAAGCAGAGGTCCTGAGAGGCCACGAAATCTGCCTGTGGTGACATGGCTAAGAAGCAGAAGTCAAGTATTAACATGGGTCACCAATTCCTAAGTCAAAGCCTGGCCTTGGTTGAATCCTATGCTTTGGGTAAGCAACTGCTACATTCTCCATATGTGGCAGGGTCATTTCAGGACCAAATAAGGTCAAGTCCCCCATCCACACCTACTATTGCCCAAGTGATGAAGAGCTTGGGCCGGGCGCGGCGGCGCACACCTGTAATCCCAGCACTTTGGGAGGCCGAGGCGGGCGGATCATGAGGTCAAGAGATTAAGACCATCCTGGCCAACATGGTGAAACCCTGTCTCTGCTAAAAAATACAAAAATTAGCTGGGCGTGGTGGCACGGGCCTGTAGTCCCAGCTACTCAGGAGGCTGAGGCAGAATTGCTTGAACCCAGGAGGCAGAGGTTGCAGTGAGCCAAGATTGCGCCACTGCACTCCAGCCTGGCACCTGGTGACACAGCAAGATTCTGTCTCAAAAAAAAAAAAAAAAGAAAGAAAGAAAGAAAAAGAAAAGAAAAGAGTTTGAACTCATCCAGCTTTTATATGGTGGTTGTAGTTGCTTATTTCATCCTTAAGAAAATCCTAATGGGTTGCTCTTATCATCATCATCTTCATCATCACATCATCATCACCACCATCTCCACTTTACAGATGAGGAAGATTGAGCCTGAGGAAGACAGGATCACCCAAAAGGCAGCTGGAAAGCTGGAGCTCCCTTCCCGTCTCCTGATCCTAGCACCTGGGCAGTTTCCACTGTAGTCCAGCTGCCTGCTGGCCTGCTGGCCTCCAGGAAGGAGGGAGGCCAGTGATAGCTGGCAATTGCCTTTCTTTCTGTAAGAAGGCAGGGTTCTCTCCAAGATGCCAAGACTCTCACAGGTCCAGATTCACCCCTTTCATTTAAGTACAGGGTGTTCTCTTCCACATTATCTGTCTGCCTCAGCCACACACGCAATTTATAAACAAGGTAAAAATGGCAGAGGAAAAATGAAGTCAGAATGTGCCACTGAAGCGAGTCAAACAATACCAAATTAGTCTTTGGCTAAGTGGCTATCTCATTGTTAAGATATTTCCTTCAATGTTTTCAGAGGCAACGGCCATTAAACAACTGGGAATGATCGCCAGGTTTGATTTCAGGAAGGAAATCTCCTCCCATTTCCCCGATGGGCAATTCAATTAATTTTCTCCTGACCCACACCAGCTGATTATAGGGAAACTATACCTGCTTCTTTTATAAACAAAACCCATTTGCTTAAAGGTTCAAAATTCCTTTCCCAATGGCTGGAACTCCTGTGCTCCCCCCAAATGACTTTATTCCTTTTTTCTGGGGGGACAGGACCAGCCATGGATGAGCTATCAGGAGCATCCAGGAACAGACTTTGACGTCCAAGGGCCAGCTTCTGGGGAAAGTTCTGTCTGGCCTGGAGCTCACAGCCTTTGTCCAGAGAGTCCCTTTGGATCTAAGACAAAGTAAATAAGTTGGTCCTACAGAGTGTTTTGGGTGGACCCAGCCCTGTTTATCGCTGGAGGAGAACACATCTGAGACCTGCAGTGTTCAGGGAGCAAAGACCTCACTTTCCAGTCTCTCAACGCCATTATTGCTGGGACAGCAAATTCACATCTTGGAGGGAGTCTCTGCCGTGACAGAGGACTGGCCACAGAGTATAGAGGCCTGGACTCTATTCCTCACTCTATTAGCCATCTGGGTGAGCCCAGGCATGCTGTTCTATCAGCGGAGGCCTCAGTTTCCTCATCTGTAAATTGGGATCCTTGTCCTGCTGACACAATAGTCTCTGATTTCGGGAGTCAGAGTGGGTTTTGGCTAGAAAAAAAAAATTCATGCCATTCCTCTTTTCCTCAAACACATAGCTTGCTTCCATAAAAAGAATGTCAGTGGCTTCCTGTCTGTCAACGGCATAATGGGCTCTGCTTTACAAGAGTCCAGACGTGGGCAAAACAAAGGAAGCCAGGGGCCCACTGGAAGAGCTAAAGAAAACTTGCTGAAAGTTCTTCCCAGGCCTAAAAGAAGTTTATGCTGCAAATGCCTTATTTCTTAAGATATTAGCTGCCCAGTTAACTCCTGCATTGCGGGGTAGCTCACAAAAAGGTTAGGAGTAGAAAGCAGGGCTTTGCAAAATTTGAATGCAGGCCTCTGTGTCTTTCATAAGCCCTCCCATTTGCCAAACAGCAGCTTCCTACTCTATTTCCTACAGAATGAAACTTCGTAACAAGACAAGGCATGTAAGTCCTTTAGATTTAAGCCCTGACTTATCTTTCTCTCATTACTTGTCACTGTCCCGCTCTTCTCCCATCCCACGCTGCTTAAAACTGGTCATCCCTCACCCCTGCGCTCCTGCTGATCTTTCTACCTCAATGTTGCCATCATTCCATTCATTCTTCACCGCCCATCCAAATGATTCCTTGGAGAAGAGGCCACTAGCCAGGTTTCTCTTCGGTGCTCCCATAGGCTCTGGCATAGCTTGCTTTGCTTTATGATAAGTGATCACATGTCTAATTCCCTGATCAGAAGGTGAACTCCTGAGGTCAAGAACCTTGGGTGTCTCCTGCAGCTGATGGCCTGGTGTCTAGGGGGTAATTGCTATCACTGAAATTGCAATGAGCTGTCAGATGCTCCACTCCTCCAAGCGTAAGCCCCAGATCAGCCTCACTTCCAGAGTCTAGACCCTGGCGTTAAAAGAAATGTGTGCTTTGCTTGTTTGGAGCTAAGCACCCTAAATTCCCAATCCCTTCACATGCGGGCTGAGATGTAATGACAGAAATTGCAGAAGAGAATATTTGAAATCAGAACTGGCCTAGTCAGAGAAGCCCAGGGCTCCTGGTCTGAAACAGACTAGGGAGGGGGGAAGAATTCATGGGAATACGGGACCTGGGTAAGTCTGGAAATATTTCACCATTCAGTGGAGTACTTTTAAGTATAATGCATATGAAATGTATACTTACAGAGTATCTGTTTTCCACGGCATCTGCAAAACAAAGAATGACATGGCAGTGAGCAATGCAAAGAACCCAGTTCAACTGCCCCAATAATGTCGCAGGGGCTGGAGCAGGCTGAGAAAACGGGGAGGAACAGAGAGCCAGGAGACATCAGCTCACAGGCACACTTAGAGCTTTATGGCTCCTTAGTGCAAAGACAGGTTCCTCAGGCCCCTCTACTGCCAGATGACAAGCATATAAAGCCCGTGGCACATCATTTAACATTTCCCCCTTTTTTTTTTTTGAGACAGTCTCGCTTTGTCACCTAGGCTGGAATGCAGCGGCACCATCTCAGCTCACTGCAACCTCCGCCTCCGGGATTCAAGCAATTCTGCTGCCTCAGCCTCCCAGGTATCTGGGACTACAGGTGTGCACACCATGCCTGGCTAATTTTTATGTATTTTTAGTAGAGACAGGGTCTTGCCATGTTGGCCAGGCTGACCTCGAACTCCTGGCCATAGGTAATCTGCCAACCTCGGCCTCCCAAATTGCTGGGATTACAGGCGTGAGTCACCACATCTGGCCTTGTTTAACATTTTAAACAATTTTTTAAAAATGTAGTAGCATGGCTGGGCAAGGTGGCTTGCGCCTGTAATCCCAGCACTTTGTGAGGCTGAGGTGGGTGGATTATCTGAGGTCAGGAGTTTGAGACCAGCCTGGCCAACATGGCAAAACCCCATCTCTACTAAAAATACAAAATTAGCCAGGTGTGGTGGCCAGTGCCTGTAGTCCCAGCTACTCAGGAGGCTGAGGCAGGAGAATTGCTTGAACCCAGGAGGTGGAGGTTGCAATGAGCTGAGATGGCACCACTGCACTCCAGCCTGGATGACAGAGTGAGACTCTGTCTCAAAAAATAAATAAATTAGTAGCACATGTTTTTTTAAGAAAAAAAAGAAAAGCATGGGAAAGTAGGAAGTAGCAGATAAAAATGACCTCTGGCCTCATTCTCCAAACCCTGTTGATGGTTTTTTTTCCTAGTCATTTTCCACTATGATTAGGCTTTTTTGGGGGGTGGGGCAGGGGGAACAGTTATAATTACATAGTATATGCCATTTTATAACTTAACTTTTCACATAACATGACTTTATGAATTTTTTCTGATCACTTCTGAAGCATAATTGTCCAATTAGCTACTAAACAATTGTTAAATGGGTGTGCCACTATTGACTTCACTAATTCCTTACTTTAAAAATGTAAGTTCTTTCTAAGTTTTTGCTCTCAGTAGCAGCATCGGTGTCCTCTTTGAGAATAAAGCTATTTCTAGATTTCATACTATTTTGTCCATCCCATCCCAGGAGCGGGCTCAACAGAGCAGGAGGCAGAAACATTAACGCTCTTAGCAGGTCTGGGCAACTGAGGGCTAGAGCCACCACTTCCTTTCCCATTCTCCTCCGGAGTCTCCTCTCAACTGCCCAGGAGCCTACACCACCTCCTTCTTCTTTATTTTATTTTATTTTTTTGTGAGATAGAGTCTAGCTCTGTTGCCTAGGCTGGAGTGCAGTAGCGCAATCTCAGCTCACTGCAACCTCCATCTCCTGGGTTCAATCAATTCTCCTGTCTCAGCCTCCTGAGTAGCTGGGATTACAGGTGCCCACTACCACACCTGGCTAATTTTTGTATTTTTAGTAGAGACAGGGTTTTGCCATGCTGGCCAGGATGGTCTCGAACTCCTGACCTGAGGTGATCCACCCACCTTGGCCTCCCAAAGTGCTAGGATTACAGGAATGAGCCACTGCACCCAGCCTCACAACACCTTCCTGCCAGACAACATGCTATGTCTGCCTGGCCCTGCCAGTCTGCAGTTGTGCAAATGGCCCCAACCAGACGTTAGCAGGAGGAGAGTGAGGATGGGTGAAAAAAGCCAATGAAAGCAGGAAGCGCTACATGGGCAGTGGGTGATCCCTGCCTGCATTCATTAGAGATGATCTTCCCCATGAAAGGCAAGAGAGGGATACGGCTGGCCCTTTTGGACAGGACCAGGCCCCCACTGAATGGTCAGTGGCCCATATGTTGGGACAGATCCCCTAACAGCTGACTATGGACATTGATATGAAGGCAGAGAAGTCATGGGGACCTCCCAGGCTGCCTGGGAGAGGTCCTAAGAGAAGATGTGGGCATTGGGGATGGTTGCTGTTCTTTTTTTTTTTTTTTTTTTTTTGAGATGGAGTCTTGCCCTGTTGCCCAGGCTGGAGTGCAATGGCGCGATCTTGGCTCACTGCAACCTCCACCTTCCGGGTTCACACAATTCTCCTGCCTCGGCCTCCCGAGTAGCTGGCACATGCTACCACACCCAGCTTTTTTTGTATCTTCAGTAGAGATAGGGTTTCATCATGTTAGCCAGGCTAGTCTTGAATTCCTGACCTCGTGGTCCATGTGCCTCAGCCTCCCAAAGTGCTAGGATTACAGGTGTGAGCCACCTCGCCCAGCTGGCTGCTGTTCTTGAAGGTGGTGAAGGGAATGGTGTGAGGCCACACGTCCTCAGTCTTACTGAGAAAAGCAGGGCAAGGGGCCTCAGTGCAGACCCAGCCCCAAGCTCAAATACAGTCCCTCCAGGATCTCTGGCAGGCTCAGGACCCATCTGTCGTGGCGGGGGCCACAACCCTCTGTTTCTCTAATTTAGAAATATCCTGTTTCCCCAAGTCCACCTCACTCTAATACCTTGTCTTATCACAAGTCCACTGCGCCTCCCCGATAGATGGAACAGAGCCAGAAGTTCCTCAGGGGCCCTTTTTCTGTCCTGGCGGGGCCAGAGGCTGGCATCAACAGCCAAATGATGAATCAGCCCCAACGGTAATGTGGGGCCATTGTGTCCATTTCCACGCATTGTGCGAGGTTGGGGACAACACCCCCAATGCAAATCTAACCTGCCAGGACCCAAAAGAACCCCCTGATTCGTGGATCCTAGTCCCAAGGGCTCTGGAACCTCTTTCCCAACAGAAAAAGAACCTCAACTCTGCATTTCCTAAAGCAATTTGAAGACAAAATGCTGAAAACTCAAATACTGATGGAACACTAACTCCATGCACACTTGCAGTCCTCGTTTCTTTTTGGTAATACAGCAATCACCACCAAAGTAGAATTTGAGGCAGCATCCATTTTCTCATGGGGGTACTTTTTTTTACCATCTTGCACGCTGAAGTAGGAAACGCCTCTCTAGGGGCAGGGTTGGCAGTGCCCTCTGGCCTCGCTGGCTGTGGGCCTCGCAGGATGGGTGGGGACTGACCCTCAAATGCTCTTCTCTTCCTCCCATGGGAGACTTGGCACAGAGGCCTCCTTTTCTTCGGTTCTTTCTCAACCATTTCCTGTCACGGCTACCCTCAGCTCAGCCACTCCTGGTATACTGGGTGGCAGGGGATTAAGTGAGGACCAGGGTTTCTGCCTCCTTAAGAAACACCCTGAAAATTTGAATTCCAAGCAAATAGAAAGTAGAAGGTGGGCCGGGCGTGGTGGCTCAAGCCTGTAATCCCAACACTTTGGGAGGCTGAGGTGGGCAAATCACTTCTGACCAGCAGTTCGAGACCAGCCTGGCCAATATGGCGAAACTCCGTCTCTACTAAAAATACAAAAATTAGCTGGGCATGGTGATGCATACCTTTAATCCCAGTGACCTGGAAGGCTAAGGCATGAGATCTTGCCACTGCACTCCAGCCTGGGTGACAGAGCAAGGCTCAGTCTCAAAACAACACCAACAAAGTAGAAGATGGATCATCAAGTGAGCAGATTCCATGATGGGGAAGTGGGTCCCTCTGACTCAACACGCATGGCCGGTGCCCAGAGCAAGACTCAGCACCTATCCAGAGCCACAGTAATCAGGTGGGATGTGCCCCACGTCACCTCCCAAGACAGAGGGCAGGCAAGAGCTGGCACTGGAGAGGAAAACCAACGGCTCCCCTGTTGGAGTCGTCGCAGGAAGTGAATTCCTCCAGCTCGGGTTTCTCCACATTGGGCCTGTTGACATTTTGGGCTGGATGGTGTTTTGTGGTAGGGATGGGGCTGTCCTGTGCATTGTCGCATGTTTAGCGACATCCCTGGCCTCTATCCACAAGACGCAGTGGCATTCTCTTCTCTGTCCACCATGCTATAACAACCAAAAGTGTTGTACTTAGTGCCACTAAGCTGGACACTTAGACTTAAAATGGTAAATTTTGTGTGATACATACTTCCCCACTTTTAAAAAAAAAAATTTAAAAAGTAAAAAAAAAAAAAAGAAAAGTGGGCTGGGCACTGTAATCCCAGCACTGGCTGAGGCGGGCAGATTGCTTGAGCTCAGGAGTTTGAGACCAGCCTGCCCAATGTGATGAAACCCTGTCTCTACTCTAATAATAAAAAAAAATTGCTGAGTGCAGTGGTGCACGCCTGCAGTCCGAGCTGAGTCAGAGGGGCCCATTTTGGGAGGCAGAAGTTGTAGTGAGCCGAGATTGCGCCACTGCACTCCAGCCTGGGTGACAGAGAGAGACCCTGTCTCAAGAAAGAAAAAAAAAAAAAGTGGAGGAAAAAAAAG